TGTGTGTGTGTGTGTGTTTGTCGAGGTCCAACTGACATCATAAAAGTCTTCCTTTTAGCTATCAAAAATAATTTCAATGTGATGTGTGTAAGACTCTCTTGTCTCTTCTGTTAGCAGTGATGTAGAATAAGGACCACTTAATTCAGTGTCTAAACTGACCGTCTTTGCATTTGCAGGTTTTCATGCTGTTTGATGTGCTGCCGTAGACTGGCTAATTAGCTGCTGTAGCTAGCCTCTAAACTGACGTTATCAGTGCAGTTTTCCCCCCCAGGGATGTTTGTCTGGTCACTCATTCAGCAAGGCAAGGTGCAGTGCAAGATGTGTCCATGCTTGTAGATAAGAAGGAGACATTATCTAAAAAAGCTAATGTGGGTTGCAGTTCAAACTTAAACATCTTAGCTGCTAGAGTTGCCGTCAGCCAGTGAACAACAACGAGAAGAGGCAAGCTGAAAGGAAAATGCAGGGACTGGTGATATGACGTTAAAGTGCAAGCAACAGGCCAGTCATTCCCGCCTTTTTTTCTAAATCTTCTTCTTTCTCTCTCGCTCTGTGTCTCAAAGCCTTGTGTCATAAAATCAAAACTGATGTTGGGCTGCATGTGTTTCAATCACGCAGCGGTGTACCGCTTTGTCTGGCAAAATGGGGAAGAAAGACGAATAGGTGGTTGGATGGACAGATGGATGAATGAATAGGTAGACAGATAGATGGATGCAGTTAAGAGTAAAGGAGGAGGAGGAGGAGGAGGAGGAGGAGGAGAGGCAGTTAAGGTACTATTTTCTCCTTCAGTGTGCCTCCTGACAGTCAAGGACTTTGCGTGTCCCTGTGTGGTTGATGTACAACCTGTTCCTAAATCACCACGCTGGGTGTGTTTTTTCCTCTTATACCTCTGTGTACATTGGTTGTAAACTGTGTGTGTGGAGTTTTCTGTAGACTGACATCCCACTACACTTACGCTCCCCCTCCGTCACACACACACACAAATAGACCACTTCCACTGTCGACTGGCTTTCAATAGATTATTTTGACGGCTGTAAAGGTACAGGCCTGGAATTATTGCATATGCCCTGCTTGGCCACCCAGACGTATTACTTTCCATGCCCCGGCACGGACAGGGGCTAATGGGACTTTTTTTCTTTCTTTTAGATGCATGTTTCAGTGTGCCCTCTTTATGTTTGTGTGTTTGGCAGTATAATATTTGGGCTTTTTCTACTTAAATCGGTCTATCTTGTGTTTCCAACCACCATGAAGAGAGGACATTTTGGTGGTGTTTTCAGGCTTCTGATTTGCTTCTGAAGGAACACTTCCACATTTTGGGGAATAGACTTATTTGCCTTCTTGCTGCTCTCTTGGCCGGGCACAGTGACTTCCTGGAGTCAAACAACCAGCTGACTGTTCCAATCGTTGTGCTAAGCTAACTTAAGCTTAATATTTACCACACAAACACAATGTTATTGATCTTCTCATCTATAGGCATGTATGCAAATAAGCTTATTTCCCAAAATGTCAAAACTATTCTTAATGACACTACATTTTCGAGTTCCCACTGAAGTCCATCTTTTGAGTATCAAACTCTCAACCCCTGTAAACTTGAAATGTGGCTCTGTAGCTTTGGTGAAGGACAGCAGTTCATTCTAAGCAGTTACAGTGTTTTGCAGTGGTGACCCTGAGTCACAGCAAAAAATCTGCAAAACTGCCATAGAAACACCTCAAACCACATCATTCATATGTGCAGTATGTTCCAAAGAATCATTTACTCTTTTAAAGGATTAGTTTGACATTTTGGGAAATAGGCTTATTCGCTTTATTACAGAGTTTTCTCATATCTGTCTTTTACAAACAATATATATGATAATGGAAACAAGGTGAAAAGCTTGCCTGGCTCTGTCCAGTGATAATAAAGTTTGCCTACCCGCACCTCTAAAGCCTACTAATTAACACTTTACATAACATTTCTTTAATACATAGTGCAAAAACGACTGGTCACCATTTGGGGGGGTTATCTTCCAGACTATTTCTTGGCCAGGAGCCGCTACTGCCTGGAGTCTCTGCCAGTTATCTGTTCAAACTGTTCCTCGCCAAGAAATACTTACGCAAACAGGCTGCTGGCTGTAGCCGACATTTTGAGTATTTACCAAAATGTCCAACTGCTACTAATTTTAAGGTTCAGGTGTGCCACATGTTATTTTTAGTTAAGTCTCTTCAGTAATGCTATCATCGGACCTTTTCAGTGCTGGTATACACGTTCTCTGAATCTTTGCAAAAAAGTTATGCTTCCAGAGGGGAGGAGTGGTTGATTATCTCCTTCCTGTTGAAATGCAATATTGTGAAGAGAGGGGTCATTTAATTAGTTCAAAACAAGCAGGATATCCAGTATTAAGGCTTTAGTTTGTTTAGAAATCTGTTATTTCTCTAAGTTTTATGGGATGAAACTTTTATTTATGCCTCCTGGTGCACACTGAGATAATCATTAAAGATTCAGTGCTTTTGAGGAAGTAAAAGTAATGAGATTTTTTATACAAAATATGCTTTGGTTTATTTAAAATGTGCCTGTAATAAGGCATGGAAAGTTGGCAAGAAAGATAAAAAAAAGTAGGTTTTGATTTTGTTGTGACTTGGAGGAGTGAGTTTTAGGATTTGAATTAAATTCAGGGTTAAGGTTGTAATTAAGATTAGGGTTAGGATTAGGGTTTGAGGTTAAGAGTTCGTAGCTGTCACTGGAAGGTCCTCACAAGTGCAGCAAGATGTGCTCGCGATGGAAAGAGAGAGGAAGTGCCGATGTGGCTTCACGCTGGCGAAGTGCTCCGAGCTGCTCCTGAGGTTTGATTTATGAGTCGGTGTTTAGCGTGCAGGACAGAGCCGCACTGGAAACCAATGGACCAGAACGTGAGAAAGATCAGCCAAAATATCCTGTCCAGACTCAACTATCAGCCCCCTGCCAGAGCAAGAGAAAAGTATGGACAGACAAAAAAACAAAGAATAAGAGGAGAGGGGGAAAGAAATAGGAATAGAGGAGAAAAGGAGAATAAAATGAGATCAGAAAGGAGTGGTAAAGAGCAAGAAATGGATGTA